TTCAGTGCGAAACGAGATGGCGCCACTAGTACAGAATGCAAACATTTACAAGTATTTCGTGTTTGTAAATTTTGTACAGACGACTGATGTTTGTTGTAGTGATTAATTAAAGACTTTTAACAATGTGATATGTTTATTCTATGGGGGTGGGCAGATTTACCATCGAACTTAATTCTTATTAGATTTTACTATAAAGCAAGGGTTGAGAAGTAGATGGCTAACAAAACTACATAATCAAGATAAAATTACATTTTAATACGTAACAGAGTAAAATTTTCTCTGAATTAAGCTTAGCTTTTAAAATAAACATTACTACAATATTACGACATTTATAACTCGGTTGATTACGCTTCTACAAAGTTAGAGGGTGGGAGTGGGGGTGCCCCTTTTTCAGGCGGCCGGAGAAGGGCGTTTCCGATTTCTGGGCCTTCGGTTCAAGGGCTCCAGTTTAAGTTCACCAATACCGTGTTATTTTTAACTTGGTATAAGTTTAATTAAAATTCTTCATCGATCTGTTTATTTACGGTGATTGTGTTTGTTTAGTCAAGGATAAATTACCGCTAGGTTTGAATAATTCATTTTAGGCATTGATTTTTGCATATATTTTAAATCTCCTATAGAAAACTACGTTTGTTATTGTCCAATGAGGAAGCAGAGTATTTAAAGCATTCAAACTCACATTGCCACTTTTCTATATGACAATACCATTTATGACGTCTGGAAATCACATCGACGACACACTCCTTAGCACTCGCCAAACATTACCTATCTTGATTACGATGTCAGTATTAGTCATAGACACAAAAATAGATAGTATAATATGAATTAGCACTAATTTATTTAAAGTTAGACCGAAACTCATCATTTTATTCATTAACAGGATTAAAAGCATCATATAATGACGTTGTAACTAGATAATATAAAATGATATAAGAATTAATATTAGACTTTAACTGCAATTTTAATACAAATAGGTATAGACACAAATTACAGCAACTGTTAGTTTTATAATTCTCTATTTACATGAATTAGCCGTTAGTAAACTATTTTTTGATGGTCGTTCGTTTATTTTTTTCCGTCGATCTTGAATAAGGATCTCTTACAGTTGGGTCCGCACGTAGTTGCGAACTCTTGGCATGGATATGCACATACATAATTGGGGATTTTCCTTAATCAAAAATTAATTATTTCGACTGTTCAATACAGTAAAATATTAAAAAAATAATCACACTTTCGTTAATTGATTTTATAACCAACTTAATTTTAGTATTCTACCAGCATTTTTTTAAGAAATACCTAAGTATGCTGTTTGACGCTAAAAAACGTGACGTATAATATATAATACACAATCTCATACAAAATTTACAGAAATCTGTCGTTTTTGACAGTTTGAAAAAAGTATTGAATTTGACTAGTTTGCAAGTAGCCAATTATTATCGTGTGATATACCTAATTGGTGAATATAATGTTGTAACAAAATGTTATCTAAATCAGGATCTACACAAAGGTGTATTTAAAATAAACTATTAACTCCCGAAGCTGGGACATTGGAGAGAATTCCATCAAGGACGCAGCCTAAAAATCAGAAAGACATAAATTTGATCTGAAATAACTATTTCTTACGACAGTTATAGAGTATACAAACCATTTATTACTATGGCAATGGAAACCGTATGAAAAAGTACCTATTATACATAAATATATAATATTTTTCCTCTATAACATAAAATGTCTACCGTCTTAATGTTAACGATTCAGTATATCTCATTTGTAGGGGGCCTGTCTCCCTCCTAGTGAGGGGTCTGCTCACTAGATTGTATATAAGGGGCGACGCCTAGCTGTGGGCGGTAAGTGTTAGCTTAGGAGTGTTCTAACCACTTCTAACGTGGATAATATTTTCTCTCCTCATAATCTATGCATGTGACTTCTATCCAGAATAAGGATCGATATGGCTCTAATTCTTATTATGTACGAATATTAGAATCAAAAGTATGTATATTACTTTCAGAAAAGTAAGCTTTCAATGAAAGAAGTTCCAAATTCGTCAAGTACCTCTAATTTCGAAGCTACAGTAATACAAATGAATCAGCAAACCTTTGCTTTAATTTGTAAAGATTTCTGGTCTCGTTCACAAAAGTAAAGAGGTTTTTAACGGCAAAATATTGTGTATATAAAATTTTATAAGAAGATTCTATAAGAAGGTGCGGGTACGAAACCTATCAACGGCAAGTACCAATGTGACTTTTTCCGAGTTATATGTACTTTCTAAGATTATCTGGACACCACTGACAAACGGTGAAGGTAAACATCGTGAGGAAACCTGGACTTATAATTTCTAATTATAAGTTTGTTATCGCCAACCCGCTTTGAGTAAGCGTAGTGATTAATGCTCAAACCTTCTCCGTGTGAGAAGAGGCTTTCCTCAGCAGTGGGTATTTATCGGCTGTTGATGAAGTATATTGGTAAATTATATTGATTACGGCACAAGAATTAATTACATTAACACAGGGTATTCAATTGTGCTGTTTTCCATTGGGGCTTATAAATGAATGCAGTGTTTAAATATGTCTATCTACTAACTTTTAATGAGTCTTTTCGTACAAAATTATTTTTCGAGTGATTCAGCAATTATTTTGAAACCTCGTCCGCGATGCAGCACAAAATCAAAGTCGTGGCAAAGCTTTCTAGTGAAAGAAAATTGTGGATTAACACATGTGATGTTAACTCTTTGAGTACCGTCATTATAGACACAATTAAAGAACAATAGGTTGCGATCACCGGTGTCCTCGCGGTGTTTGACAGTTTAATATATTTATTTTTTTATGGCATAAGCCGGTAAACGAGCAGACGGATCACCTGATGGTAAGCAATCGGCGTCGCCCATGGACACCTGGAACACCAGAGGCGTTACAAGTGCGTTACCGGCCTTTTGGAGATTAGGAGTTTGAGGATCGTTGGGGATTCAGGGAATGGGGAAATGGGGGATTTGAGGTAATTGGACCTCCGGTAACCTCACTCACACGACGAAACACAACGCAAGCTGAGTTGCTTCACGTCGGTTTTGTGTGAGGCCGTGGTATCATTTCAGTCGAGCCGGCCCATTCGTGCCGAAGCATCTCCTACACTTAAATATACTATATTATATAATACTATATTATATAATTCGTTTATATATCTGTTTTTTTAAGGCAACAGTTCTTAATATTATGATAACATCGGAGCAGGTTTTTATAAGTGTCGACTGCCGAGTGATGCCATGTCGACCAGGTGATATAAATACATTATTTGTATGTTAAAATATTGCTTTATATGTGTTATAAACTCCTTAATATATCTGTCACGTGTGTTGGTTATAATAATATTTTTATATATCGTTGGTTTTGGTTGAAATGTGTGCAATTATTAATGTATGGAGCTTACAAAAAGAAGTATTCTATGACAAAACAAATAGTTCTATCTTGTTGCTCCACGTCTACGTATTTCTGTTAGATTTCTTGTAAGTAGGGCATAATTTTAATATGTCAGTATAAAACTAGCGTAGATATACGAGTAGGTATTATTGCCAATTTTAATATAGGTACCCACAAGATTTGACTGCACCAACCGTGCGGTTGGTGCGGTGGCTGGGCAACCGTCTGCCGTGCAACGTGCCGTACCGATTCCCGCACGGAACAACACTTTGTGTGATCCACAAATTGTTGTTTCGGGTCTGGGTGTCATGTGTATGTGAACTTGTCTGTTTGTAAACGCACCCAAGACACAGGAGATAATCCTAATGTGGGGCAATGTTTTTTTTTTAAAAAGAAAGCATGTTCTTATGTCTATAAGTAATGTCGACCATTAGACCAAGTAAATAAAATAAATTCTATAGGCAATAATCTAAGTTCTTCTTCTATTTGTTTAAAGGGCGTCTCACAAAGACAACATCACTTAATGATCTAAGGTCTTAGTGCCTACTTAATTCCTTGAATTTATGCAAACATTCAGATATCTGTTAGTGTTTATTATTTATACATATTTGAATATAATATGAACATTATTTTATCATGGACCTTGAATTCCTAAGACTGAGACCAAGCTTGTAGGCGACTTAAGTACCTACACTGATGTACCTAGACATAGCTTCGATATCGATAAGTATAAATTAGAAGTGAGACGTAATTTACTGTTCGTTAGCACAAAGTATTTTTTACTATGAAAATTAATAAATTAAATATGACGTTTATAACTTAGCTGTACTTTGATCGATCGATCAGATATTGTAGTTACCCACGGCTAAGTTTTATATTTCTTATTATGCGAAAAATCTATAAATCACCTATATATCTTAGGAAACAAAAACATTTTCCTAATGTTCTTTAAAGGGGATTATTCGTATTAATTAGTGAAGAAAATATATCTTTTTCTGTTTAATAACAATTGATTAATTCTAGTTTAACAAACCTTATTAAGATGTTACGTTTAGGGGCCCGAACATTATTTGTAGGGGCAACGGTAATGATGGTTTTTCTACCGGAGGAAAACATAATCCGTGTTTCAGACTCAAAGTAGGGTTAAGTCGGGTTCAGACATAGCTACGGGGTACAAAGCACTTTTATTACGGCCATTATTATTTAGAATTGTTCTTTGGATTTATTAAACAACGGAATTGGTGTGTTAATTCTTTTTCTTTTGTTAATTGAACGTTTTTTCTAAGCGAGTATTTTGAGATGCCGTGTAGTCTTAATTACTTTTAAAAAAATCTTTGTGTAACTGAATGTTCGATATAAACTGGTGTGTTGTAAATGTAATCAAACCGTGCCCTTTATGGCTTTATGTGGTGGCGTGTAATTAGTTTGAATACAATTGTTTTACAAGTTTTTACAGAGTTTTTACCTATAAAACTATTGTAGTCACATACGTAAGGTTATTGAGGTACAGCTTGAGTAAAGAGGGGAGTTTAGAAGGCTCGGGCTCCCCAAGAGAGAATTTGTTATCTAAGAATTTTATTGTTGTTTCAGCAACAAAGTGAGAGATACCTAACGTCGGCGTACGAGGGGGGCGGCGACTTGTCCCCTGTCGCGCCCGCGACTTCCCCTGGCTCACCGCGTGACTGCACCTCGTGTCGCAAGAGGGAACCCCCGGACGAAACGCCCCAACCTCCCCCTGAAGACGCTTGTGCCGGCTGCGGCGGCCGTATCACCGACAGATACTACCTTCTGGCACTAGAGCGCCGCTGGCATACACCCTGCCTAAAATGTTGCGAATGTAAAATGCCCCTCGACTCAGAACAGCGGTGCTACGCCAGAGACAGCAACATTTTCTGCAAAAATGATTATTTCAGGTAAGTTTCACTTTTTCCCAATCAAACCGCAGACCTCTTCTTTGTAGTATTATCTCACCAATCAAGACTAGAAAACTTTGTGTCAAATCGGAGAGAGTGAGAGAGTTTCACAATTTTAGAATCACCTCGAGCATGAAAATGCCGCGAAAAATAATCCAACATAAAATTATTGAAATTATTCATTCATAAAAATTTCCCCAGCGCCGCCAGTAAAATAATATTATAAAATTAACTAACTACACTTGACTTAATTACATTTTGAAATCCTCGAGGGCAATTTCGCTCTCATAAAATCTTAAATAAAACCTACCGACGTTCTAAAGTTATGATCAAAAGAAACATTTATGGAAACAACACGTGTAACTGTCATTTGTATAAAATTTATGTTCGTTACGTTAATTTAGTGTACATTGAGTGTGTGACAAGTATAGCGCTCTCTCTGCTTGTTATTGAAACAGCAATGCACCTCGTACATTGCGATAATTATGAGCGTCGTAATTATATCAACGCTGTGAGCGTTCGCATCGTGAGTGGTATTTAAAATATATGAATGGGATTCTGGTTGCGGGTGGAGGACGTACGTTCCTCGTCTTTTAAATACAAATATTGAATTGGATAGTACTCGAATAATAAAAATAATTACACTACTTGGGAATTGGAACGAATGATAACTGAACACGGCACGTTGTAATATTCGAGATAATTGAATAGATTGTTTATTATTTGAAGTAGAATTAATTCCTTTTCAATTAAGATTTTCAAACAACATTCAGTATACTTTAGAGAAATATCTTGTTGTAGTAGTTGGTCGCTCTATTTGGTTTCGGTACCCATTAAATAAATGCGTGACTTACATACTTAAAGTACGTATAGGTACCTTATATTAATAATTTCGTCAAGGGGTACGGTAGACTCGATCAAAACATTACCTGAATAACAAAACTTAAAAAAATATCTATTTCGAGTTGACAACTTATATCCGCAATATTCGGATTACGGAGATTATTTCGTTTTATTAATTCATTTTAATGACATTGACAGACAAACCCCAGTCGCCATCTTGAGTAGACAATAAACGTTCCGTTTCATGCTACCTATCAAATACGCCTCGCCAATCAACACGTTGTCGCGTCAAAAAAGTATAAATTAACAAAAAATATGAATAATTTCACGCGAAAGAAGTCGCGGGTAACAGCTAGTATATATAAAACTCGTGCCTACAAACACATTACTTAATCGTTTTTACCTAAAAAGATCATATTCATCATATTCATTATCACATTCTTGTGTTTATAGAAATATGAGATAACAAGGACAAGGTCTATGAGGAAAATAAGAAAAAATAACATGAAAATAGTAACAAGAAAACTCCTACTTAAACGGTGAAATCGTGGGCGAGAGGCCAGACACACTGAGTCAAGGGCATTGGCTTATCCATACTATTATTACCTATATCGGTTGCATTTGAACTAGATTGTATAAGTGCTGTGATAGTGGAATTTTAAATCAAGGGTAGATTGAGGAGTACACTTACGAGTTAAAAACGGATCGACTAGCATTTTTTCTTTTTCATTTCTTGATACAACTATTTTATTAGTTGGTAACGTATGACTGCCTTATTGGCCGAGTGGTCGCAAGTGCCGGGTAAGGGGTCTCAGGTTCGATTCCCTGGTCAGGCAAAGTAGTACTGCTTTTTGTTTAAGTAACACGGAGTCTAGAAATGTGCCCGGTATATGGCAATAGGCTCACCCCCTATTACTCATAACATACATAGTGAAAAGTGGGCGTTAGTGTTACATTGTGCAGTGGCATTAAGTGCCGTAATGTGCACGTCTGCCTACCCCTTCGGGGATAAAAGGCGTGATGTTATGTTATGTGGTAACATATGTAAAATACAAAAGACAATTTAGCTACCCAACTACAACAATACATTACATATTTAATGAGGGCGGCCTTATCGCTATTAACAAGGCCAGCTTCCGAATTATATTACTTGAATTTTCAGGTATAAAAATCTCTGCCTACAATAACATTCAACTATAGAAATAGTCTTACGTATTTACTTTGAAACAGGATCATGTATAATTCAATTAATCAGGTACGAGATTGTTCTGCCGCGTTTACAGCTGGTGTAAGATGATTTTCCGAGAAACCCGATACAGTGTTCAGACGTACTCCTAGAATTCTTGGAATTATTGAACTACAGGCTCATAGCACATTGATAAGATCAGCGATTTTGAAAATTTTATTATACACTGATGAACTATGAGCCTCCTTGACTAAGAGATCTTCGTCATAATCGCCACACCTGGTTGGTGATGGTAGAGTAATTGTGTAGTGGCATTAGGGTTTTTCAGAAAACGCTGCTGTCTGTTGTCTGTCAAATATGTGGGTCCTTGGCCGACTTCTTAGACAACCATGAGAAGAGCAGGGACGGTGAAAATAGTATTTTACTCTGTTGTAATGAAAAAGTTTCTTATAATCTTTAAGGTAAATGTAATTCTTATGTTATTTTATTGAATTCATTTTAGATAACAATATCTAAGCGACTCAGATTGCTTTTCAATTCTAGTTTGGAGTTAAGTTGTGATTTTGTTCTGTGTTGAGGTGTGGCGTCTCTGTAAGCGATTTTAGGTTTGTGAAATTTTATTATGTATTTTTTCCTGAAGATAATTTTGTAGCTATCTTCTTAAATTGTGTTTGTTTGTAAAATGAACTAGCGAAACCTAATGCCTGTTTTCATTAACTACTACTAAGATTTCAGGAATCCGTTAAGATAATTTTTGGCAACCTATTAGGAACACTTAAAAGTAGGTGCAAAAGGGGGTTCCTTAGGAGCTACGTCACGCTAAGTAACTTTTAGTTAAGGTATGTTTCAGGGGTGGTTGGTGAAAACGCCCATAAGAGGAGTGGCTCTTAATTCTCTCATTATGCTTATTTTGAGAATAAATAATTCATCTCGTAAATTGGACTAGACATTCATACCATCATACCATTCCAAGCGGTAAGATACCTCCCGATACGTAGCCGCGGAAGGCCTGACGGGTTGTCGTGGCTCCCGCTCAAAGAGCAGGAATAGGAACGGGGTGGTTTTAAGTCAGTAAAAGTCTGTCACTTCCTCTCGCCTATCTCAAGGCGGGAGAAGCCATTGGATGATTTTTTCCCTCAAAAAAAACAGTTAGATACCTTCTACTATTAAACACAAGAAATCTCTTGCACTTAGAAATGATTAATCTCACTCGCTTCCGCTCCCGCTGTTCAAGTGGCCAAACCTTTATTAAAATATTTATCGAGTCCAACATAAGTTATCAGATTCAATTCCGGAGGTGTCGAAATGCGTTATGTATTTTAATTATTTCCCTCTCAAAATTTATTATTTATCGAATATGGGCCAACTAAAGTACACTGATTTACAAACTGTATTATTATTTAATACTAGTGTTGTAATTGTACCATATGGTAAATTGGTGTTATTTAGTGATTTGAGACTATTTGTATATTTAGATAACTAAAGCATTTAAAATTATATGGAGATGTGAGGTCTTATTTGACGCAAATGAACTTATCGAGTAAATTTTAACCAATTATAGTCTGGACCACAAGTTTTGAACCAGACTGTTAACATGTTTCATTCTATTTTGACATAATTCATCTTGTTAAAATAAAGTAATAGTAGTAACATAATCTCCAGTACCTGTTACCCTTAAGCCACTTTACAAATAACATAATAACTTTATTCAAAAGAATAAACTTATAAAGAAATTAAAATCACATTGAAGTTTTTTGATAATTTTCTGGTCTAAAGGTTCAGATCTTATCTTCGGATTAAGATAGTTTAATAGTGTTCCTGCCGAACACAGAATATAATTTGTGGCAGTTTACATAATTATATTAGCACAAATTGTTTTTAATACATATTTAAGTTAATAACGTTTTTAGTTAAGTGAGTAAGTACCCTTGAACTTGAACAGGTTCGTGCAGTTAAGAGATCTTACTTAACTATTTATCAAGTAACATTGCGAGTTTGGTTATTTATATAGGTAGCTACTTCTCTTTTCTGTTCTAGAAATTACGATAGGTTTTCGTAATTCATAAGAAATTCAATTAAAATAAGTATCCCATTTTCCATGTTCTTTTTTCTGTGGCTAAATAAAGGACAATATCCTCATAAGTAGTAACTGACTGGAAACTTCCCCTTTGCAACATTTTGAGCCCTATTTGGCATATTTGTATAGACACTTCTTGCTAGGATGTCCGTGATTTGTGACTGCCAACTATCAGTCGAAATTGATATCGATTCTATTGCTTGGCTCGTAAGAGCGATTTTTGCTTTTCTATGAATATTAACTAGTATTCCTGCTAGCAACTTTTTAAGGTTTGCTGGGGACTAAAGGTGTCTCTCATACTGCTCATTATTCTTTGTAAGGTAAGAAAGGGTAAAAGGATCAATTTTTATTTTTTTACGTAGAGCCGGTTCTGCTCTCAGTAGGTAACTATATCCTCAAAATACGTCTGAACCAAACTGACGTTTAACGAAGTCTATATCCATAACTCCAAATTCAAATTATGTATTCAGAAATGTTCTAAGGAAAATCTTTTATAGCCTCAGTCCTCTATTCAAAAGCTCAATGAAATTTTGTATGTAGGCCAGGCTTGAATTATAAAAGACGTATACACGTAGGATAGTATACGCCTCTTAAACCCGTGGGTTGTAGAATAGACTGAGGGTAAATAAATCCCATTCTCGCCCATTTAGCAGGACTGAGGTGCCATATAAAACTCTATGGGCTAAAACGCTGGCCATTCATCAGTTTCGAATGGACTATACAGCCTATAGAAGCTCATAAAGAGTATTCATACTAACACTATTAAACTGCGCGCGCCTAGTGTGGGCTCAGTACAAATCTGGCAACGTTATGTGCTGAATTGTCTTTGAACCTCACAAAGACGAGTTCATCCTTTTGTTGCCTATAGAATACGTACATTTTGTTAGGCATTAA